GGTTTGTTGGTTCTCTGTGCATATATAAAATATATGTATGCTTACATAAAAAACCCTCGAGTCAAATTCCATCACTGTCACCTTTTCAAACTCCAATCATATATTTTCTGTCATTGTCTTTCTGGAGAAGGAACGAGCATGTCTGGCTAAGCTTAAAAAGTTACTTTTCTAGAGAGTTTTGTAAGACTTACTTTACTTTCTAGAAAAGTAAGTTCTGTTAGTAAAAGAAAATAACTTTTACAATTATGTTTGACCAAAAGAAGCTTAAAAGAAACTTCAATTTCTTTTTAAGTTTAACCAAACAGGCCAAATTAGGTCATATAAATTGAACAAACGCTACATTTAGTAACTCATGGCTTTATGTTAAGCATGTCTGAATAAGATGTTGAACGTTGAAACAAAATTTAACTGAAGAACAAAGCACCTAATCAAATGGTTTAGTCGGCATACTCTTCTATTTACATTATATGAGTATGAAGATACATCTGCTATGTTGTGGTTGCACAGACAAAGCTGCTATTGAATTATTGTGTTATGTAGTCTTTTCATATTCTAGGCTCAACGTAAAGGTTATCAATTTCTCGTCCGAACAGGTGCATCACAGCCTGTGGTATGGGACACCATAGTGCCTTCGAGGAAGAGAACCTGTGTCAGTCGTTCAAAGCCATCTCCAGTCGAGAAGCTTACAAAAGATTTGTATACCATATGGCATGAACAACAGTCGTCATGTTTCTCTGGATCTTCGGAAGAGGATTTGCTTCTTGAGAGTGACAAACCTATGGTGTCTGTTGAGATTGGACATGGAAGTGTACTTATTCGGCATCCAAGCTCAATAGCTAAAGAAGAAGAATCAGAAGCTAGCTCCCTTTCAATTGATAACAAGCCACTGCCCATGAATGAGGCTTATTCACGGTCAATGACCCCTCCTGTTCATAGTGATGACAAGCTTGTTAATTATCCAATTCGGGAAATTGATAAGGTCAATAAGCTCGCTGGACAGGGAATGGGTAAAGAGAAAATTGAAAGGTACTTCCTGGATTCATCTCAAACTCTAGCAAGTCAAGATTGCTGAAATTTATACTATGATGCTTCCACCTATGGCGCAATAGAAAACATGGATATGTGATACTAGTATATAAGCTGAGATATTTCAATTCTAGGATCTGGCACAACTTCTGAGACCTTCTGCGTCATATTTTTGCATTTTATCTATCCCTTTATTTGCTTTCTTTCCAGTTTCAGAGACGAGAATCAACTTGAAAAGCTACAGTTGCTGGCAAATCATAATTCACCGCTACATCATATAGACCTGAGAGTAAGTTGCGATTCTGAATATGTTTTTGTTATCATACTCAATAGCAAACTTATGTCAACCAGTCTTTATCTATTACTATGGTTTCATCTTTCTCGTATGTCAAGGCCACCAGGTCAAATTTGTCCACATTTATGAAATTTCTCTCACGGTTCTGAGCTTTTTGATCAAGTGTGTAATGCATAGACCAAATTAGAAACTTCATTGTTATTGTTATTTCCCATACTACCAATAGATTGTTCATGACAGATTCAAGGTATTTAGAATATGGTAGAATATGGTTTACTTCCATTATAAACCCCGATCAATTTTCCGCTTATTTTTGCATGAATAAAGGCCCGATACTTTGTTATGATTGACATCTCTATTGATGCAGGATATTCTGAATTTCGATAAGTTTGTGGCTCATTTGACAAATGATGAACAGAGACTGTTAATGAAGATTTTACCTTCCATTGACACTACAGCAACTCCGGAGAGGTTTTTGTTTTATCAGTAATACTTAATATAGCTCATCGTAATGAAGCATGTAAAACATATCAGTTGGTAGATACTACTAGATAGGTTAACCAATGAGAAAATATTAATAATAGCATTGCTACTAACTGAACTATTTTACTTATATTTAATTAGAAAAATGCCATACTGAACTATTATATATAAACTGGCAGCAGTTAATCCATAGTTGCTGATAATGTTCCCTGCTTTTAAATCCAGTCTTGCAAGTATGTTCAGTAGCCCTCAATTCAAGGAGAATGTATCATCCTTCCAGAAACTTCTTGCTGAAGGAGTTTTTGATAACTCATTCTCTGGAGTGAACATAGACGATCATAGAACCTTGAAGAAACTTGCATTGTGCAATTTGACAAAATCGAAGTGGGTGGAACAATATAACCTAATTAAGGTTCGAACTTGTTGCATAGAATAAATATTGCATTTTGAAAAACTATGTCTTTCGGATTAGTGTATTTTTTATTGATTTTATATCCTGCTTTTGACATAGGGAGGGAAAGGCAAAAATTCTATCAGAAAGTCTGAAGAGAGAGGACTTGTTGCAGCTGCAACCGGTCGTTCGGAAAATGTTAAAAGATCACAAGATGGACAACACCAAAAGTTTATAGGTAAGCCACATATATATTTTTTCATTGTATGACACCAATGAAAACTTTTAATGGCATGTTTGGAAAGGTGAGCTGGAGAGTACTAATAAAGAAAAGGAAGTTGAAATCTTGTCCATCCAGTCAAATACTACTGTCTACATATAATCATGCAATTGATTGTTTGGCAATTGCACTTTTCTGCTTGAGAATTTTATTCTTACCTAATCATCTTAATCAGGAGTAATCTGAATAATCTGGGGACAAAGATTTATATAATCGGACACATGAAAGTTATTGAGATGGAATAGGTACACGCAGGCATCAGGTTATCAAATCCTTCTCAACTTCATATAAGAGATTCTCACCACAAATTTCATTTCTCCTGAAATGCGAATCCACCTTTTTAACTTCTATCACATGGAGTCGGGACTATTCACTAGGTAGATTGTTTCTCTTGACGAAGATGTTTGTAAAATCAAAAATAGTGGCAAGACTACTTAGATTAGCCAACTTCATTATTTATTATTTAGCAATGACCTCTAAGAAACGACATGTTTCAGGAGCGAGGACTATGATGAAGAGTCCGAGAAGGGTGTTGATGAAGTCGAATTATGACCACAAGGATCTAATAGACAATGATGGCCCAGAGAATTTGTTTTCATTGCCAAATGATAATGGCTCCCGGGGTTTGGACAGGTTGCAATTTGCTGATGAGAACTCAGAACAGGATCTACTGCTGGACGTGCCATATAACAGCTCTTTCCCACAGGCCGAACTCCTCCTGCCTTCAAATTTTGCTATGCAAGCCAGTACCAGTAGTAATTCAGTATACCCACATCTTGCACGTCCCTAATGGCAAGCGCCCCACCCACCTTTCTCTATTCCCCAGGGCTGTTTTGTTGCCTCCGTTTTGCAAAACGGGTGCAAATGAGGTTTGATAATTGCCTCCTCTTTTCCTTGTTTCTATTTCCTCAACCTACACGAAACTCAAAACGAAAAGGGATGGACTTATCCCGAGTATTTTTTGTATAGGTTGACAGAAGATTGTAATATATAGCAGAAAAATGGTATTGTGAAAGAGTTTATGCTTGCTGGGAAACTGCAGACTTGTGAGATAATTTTCATTTGGCAAGAAATTAGCACTTGGAACAGAGTACTTTCCTAAGATTTATTAACAGCAATCAACAAAGCTGTGTCATGTGCAGGAATGAGTTTGAACATTTTCATCTTGGTGGTGTGGACCACATGAATTTTACTGACATTTGGTATGATTATAGTTAGATAAGTAATTGTTATCATTGATGCCTTGTTTATTGGACTAAAGCCAACTCAAGATTGTCTGTTTGGGAGATGGACTATTTTTTTTTTTATCCAAATCAAAATCAACAATTAATTTTAATTACATATTTTATGAGATTCACAACTTTTTAATCACACATTTCATTAATTTTTATTAAAATGTACTAAAAAATTAATTTTAACTCCGACTAAACAAAAACTTATTTAAGAAACTTGAATACTTTTACTCTCTCTTGTACAGGACATCATCAATACGAGTCAATTGTTGTTGACCAAGAATTTTGTCTGGGTAACATATGTACCAATAGATGTTAGATAAAATAGGGAAGGGGTGTCGTGGGGGGTGGGGGAGAGATTTTTTTCGTTGAAATATATAAAGACGTGTTTTTGGCATTATCAAATGAAAAATGGCTAAGTAATATATTCTATTATTAAAAATTGGTGTATGTATTTCTTCTTTTGAGTTATTGCACTCACATTTGAAAGTACAATTATTGATGAACACCAAAATATTTCTAATTTGCTTTATGATATATTCTACCATCGTTTGGGATAATTAGCACCGACATTAACGAATTGAGTTGAACATTCTTTGAGTCAGTTCAATCTGAAAGGAAAGAGTCTAGACTTCTAATTATGAACGATGATACACTACGACATTTTCAGCATCCATTGATTTATTTAAAATTTATATATTCTTAACTTTAATCTATGGTATGATATTAATATTATTAGTTTCTATTGTATCGTACAAGATGAGAGTACGATTGTAACCATAATTTATTCTGTTGTTAACTTTTCTGTGAATGAGAGACGCGAATTTTTATTTTAATTAAAGGTTACTTAAAACTCGCATCCCATTTTGACCTTGTGAAAGACATTGCTTTCCCCCAAGGGAAAGACATTTCTTTAGACGACGACGACGTTTCGATAATTGGGGAGTACGTCTTGATTTAAGACTGACCGTCGATTAAAACTGGCGGGAAAGTTTGATAACCTAATCATGATCGTACAATAGGACTATAAAACACGGGAAAATCAAGAGTCTGTAAAATCCCCAATTCGACAAAATAAAAAAACCCTAAAATTTACACACACATAGTATGCGTTGCAACAACAATGGAAGTAGAGAAACCGACAGATTCGTCTCGCTGATTAAGCTCTGCCAGCCAACCTCATCCCAAGACGCTGAATTGGATAACTGCCCCTTCGGTTGGATTGTGGAATCCGATCCTGACCCGGATTTATTGTCTCCGTCTCCCTCGCTGACTGAACCCACCGGAATAGTTATGGTTTCGGGACCGGATAGCTGTACAATTGACCAACGTACACCTCAGGATGATGCAGAATTGGAATTTCAAACCCCTCCGGAGCAGCAAGCCCACTCCTCCTCTGAAGACCAATATGTTGACGCTGGAGAACCCACGGCCGTCGATCCTGTAGACAGCTTAAGGACCGTTGATTTGAGTGAGGACACTTTGGTAATTGGGGTTGATGAATTGAGGGAAAATCGGGTTTTGGAGGAGGAATTGGATAATGACTCTGTGTGGAAGAAGAAAGAGGTTTCTGAGGAGGATATGGAATTGGAATGGGATGGTGAAACCATGCCTATTGGTGAAACGGAGCCCGCTACAATCGAAGTTGAAGGAGACAATAATATGAATGATACCGATGTTATCAATATGGAAACAGAAGAAATTGGCGAGGAACTAACCACTGTAAATTTGGGTGAAGATTCGGTGGAGAAGATGTGCAAGGAAAATGTTGTGGTTGGGGAAAATGCTGATGCGCAAAAAACTGGAGAGACCCAGGGATTCACTGAAACTCCTGAGTTGCTAGTAGCTGGTGCAAGTGAAGAATTTGTTAGAGTGAGCAAAAAATGTGATGAGGGAAAAACTAGTGAATATGCGGAGATTATTGAGGTTACAGAAGGTGAGAAGGCATGTAATGATACAGGTGGGTATGAAGATTTGTGTAGTTGTATGAATATGGAAGGAATTGACGAGTTCAAGTATGTTAATGGTGGGGTTATTGAGAGGAAGCGGAAGGAGAAAGTTTGTGGAGGTGACAGTCGTGCCGGTAGAAAGTACGAGTTTCCATTATCAATGAAGGGTAAAAAGCAGAATATTGGAAGCAGGGAGGTTGTAGGAAATGTTGGGATGAATAATGGATTTTTCAATGATATGTTGGAAGTTTTGAAGCCTGTCGTTCCCAATGTGGATAGAGACTCCGAGGATGTGGATTTCTTGGAGATAGCTAAGAGACGGGGTTTGACTTTTCCTCGACCTAGATGGTGGTCTCCATAGGGGATTGATTTGGTTTCTGAACTGGGGAAAATGATGATTTAGGATGTTCAGTGTACCTCTAAGGTGGTTGCTCCGACTGTGGACAATGACTATTAGGGTGTGGATTTCTTGGAGATAGCTAAGAGATGAGGTGCAACTTTTCCCGGATCTAGCTGGTGGTCTTCGTAGGGTGTTGATGACTTGTTTGTGGAACGGGGAAATGTTGGTTTAGGAGTTTCAATATTTAGATCAAAGGCGGGGTTGTTCGTAATGAAGATAGTGACAGAGAGGATGTGAATTTCTAGGAGTTAGCTAAGGAACTCAACCTAGATGGTGGCCTCCGTAGGGCGTTGATGACTAGTTTGTGGACTGGGAAAATGGTAATTTAGGAGGTTTGGTGTCTATATCTCATGACAATTTTAATGTTTTGGATAAAATGATTGAAATTCAACTAAGTTGACATGTAAATAGTGCTATTAATGTAGGGCTTGCAATGATATCTATTGTTGATCCCACTTTTGCACTAGTTACTAGTTAGATATGGAATTAAATGCCAAATGTGGCATGAGCTAACTTCAGTCCTATGGAGCTATACTGTCTCAGTACCACTTTGGTGTGTGAATAATTAAAGAGAGGCTAACATATATTTTTGTTTAATACTTGCTACTCAAATGCAATAATGTTGGGTTGAAATTTGGTGATTCTTTAATTATTAGTTCTTGATTTTCACTGTTTTATGTTGCATATATTTGGTTTAACATGGTTGTAGTTGCAAATGATTTAGTTGCATTAAATTTTCTAGTTAAGATTGCAATGAATTTAGGAGCAAGAATGGTTCAAGTTTTAATTGATTGAAAATAAGATGCAGTTTTTATTGTTGTATATTGCACATATTTGATTTACCCATCATGAAGCTTTGGCTGACCAAAGGTTCTTTTTCAGCCATTGACAAGTTGCCTCTTGGGCGAAGCAAATACGTCCTGACTTTAATAAGGTTAACCCACCCATACAGCCAGCAGGGCTGCAGGTAGGATGGCACTACTAGCAAATACCGTCCGAGTAAAATGCTGTAGGCACGTAACATGGTAGGCTTACGCCTTTGGAGCATAGAATAGGGAGGAAAGGGAGACCTGCGCATCTTGGCATAGAAGATGATGATCAAGGGGGAGAACCTCGTGTGTAGCTAGATGATCCCAAGTGTTTATAGCATTTCTTAGAGCTAGCCGAAAAATGAAGGCCTGCATAGGAGGAACTTCTTTGAACCAAATAAGCTTTAGTATTTTCAAGATCAACTTTCATATTCGAAAAATGTGCTTATGATTCTACATTTTATACTTTATGAGGCAAGGCCTTTTTTCCACCCCTAAGGAAGAAAGGGGAACAAGCACACTTAAGAGCATAGTCAACCAAGAGTTTTATACTGCGTTCGAGAAGGATAAATCGCTTCCGAAAAGGAATCTATTGATTCTTTCCCAATTAGTTAAATCGTAAATGCTATGATTTACTTCACAGGTAAGGTCTCTGGCTCAAGTTCGGACTGATGTAACTGCACCATGGAAAAGAAAAATAGAAGAAAGATCTTCATACTTACTGGATGCTCCACTTGGCTTGAGAATAGCTCAATAGAGCTCTGCTCCTGCAAATTGAGCCGTTGCGAACTGGACATCTAATTGTCCATACGGTGATGATAGCATCTTGAATTTGAATCGAAGACTCACTTTTTCTATGTAATGTAGAAGAGGACTGAAGCGAGCCACTAAAAGTATCACGATTAACAAAAAAAAAGTCATAGTCCATTTAAATACTGGTATTGGAAATTTTCATGTAAGGCATTAGCTGCATTGCCTCTGGAAAATTATAATATATGACGATGTGACATGTTGCATACATACGCACGATGACAATTCATTAGATTTTCTTTAATGTTGTCCCATTTTGTGCCCTTCGATTATATAAGAAATCAACTGAGAATCAATGAAACATCTAAAACATGCATATTCTCATAAGAAATTTATACATATTAAAAAGAAGAAAAAAAACATTACTCAATCAGCCATCAAAAATCAAGATTCTGAAATATAGGGAATAAAGATGCTCAGAAAGCCCTCTGTTTCAGTCGAGTAAATGCTAGATACTGCAATTTCTCTAGTTCATTTCAGTCTTGCTTGATGTCTCATCCTGCCAAGTTGCTTGCCACTGTTTATCATAAAATGTTGTCTCCTCCAGCAATTTCTTAAGGGTTTCGATGTCCTCGTTCTTTCTAATAAGCAGGACACCCACTACAGCTACGAATAATAGTGTTTTACAGAAGAAGTTACCCATTTGGTCGACAAGACCTACACCGGTCAAACTATCTACAAGGTAGGCCATGAAGAAGCCGATCATTGCAGCCCGACCTTCATAAAGTTTAACGTCATTAGTCCAAAAAATTCCTGCACCCAGTACATTTGTAGAACTTCGGTGCATGCACACGTTTGGTACGCAATACTAAATAGGACTTAATAGTATAATGAATAAGATTTTAGGTTTTCTATTTTGTATAAATTGTCTAGTCCTATCGAGTTGTGTGCACCAAACACACCGCAAAGGGACCAAAGATATGTGCTAACCATTGAGCAATTCAGCTTCTGGGAGATGGAACCTCTTGATCCATGCCCACCACGGAATTATAGCTGTGTCAAAAGCAATAGGGTCTTCATTACTCGATGATTGAGGATTATCTTCCATCCATTTTCTCCTTCTCACTTCTGCAAAGAATTAGCCGCTTACATAGTTGAAAATCAAGTGATCTCTGAAGTATCACGAATATTTGGAGACTGGAGAGGTTAACAATATCTAAACAAATGCATGAAAACAACATTGCAGAAGAATACATACATATAGCTCAAAATGAGGTCATCTAACCAAACAGCTTAGAACCCGTTCTCTTTACCATTTTCAAGCCTTTTTCGATTTTCCAAAACAGTGAAAACGCGTTCTCTTTCTTATTTTCGAAAACGCGTTTTTGAAAACAAGTTAAAAATTTATAAAGAAAACCCAAAACAACAACTTTGTCGAAAACAATTTTTCAAGATGTCAGAATGTCAAAAAAAAATTTCAAATGTCAAAAAGAACACATTTTCAATGATTTCAAAATGGATACTCAAAACACAGAATCCAAAATGAATTCAAAACTCAAAACTGAAACAAAGAGAACGGTCTCTTAGCTTTTAACCATTACCATGAGCTTTAAAATGTTTGAGAGGTCCACCCAATAACAGCTACACAGAGCAGGAATATTGTCATTTTTTATCTTTATAGTGCCAACAAATTCTCTGCAAAAAAACTGCGATTTCATACTAAGTTTGGAACGAACGGGTACAATGAACACAACCAATTTTTAAAGTTCAAAACATTTTCCAATGAAAAAAATACCATTCAGTCTGCTTAAAATCTCCACTGTGTGAACAATGGGAATACAATTTTGAATATCTACTGTAGTTATAAAACTAGAGACTTACAACAATATCAAGAACGCACTAAAGGCTCATCACAACATCAAGAAAACACCTCGCTGCAAGGGAACAGTATCTCATCATCTAGCAAAGACAAAAACCCATAATCATCGCGAATACGTTCTCTTTTTTCATTTTGTCTTCAATTTTTCTAGATACAAGTACATAGTAAACAATTGCTTAATCCCATAAATCGTTCTCTCACATTATCAACACCAAAAAAAATATGATAAATGTGTAAAATACGTATGTATGCATGCATAGCACTAGCAGCATAGAGAGAGACGAGAGAGTAGTCACCAGCATCAATAACAACGTCCCAATCAGTCTTCCCGTCTTTCGCGAACTGCTTCAAGTCCCAAGTCCCTCCAACCCATCTGGGGTCCTCAAATTTATTCGCAGTCTCCACCACCTCCGCCGTCGCCGTCGCCGGCTCCGGAGCTTCAGCGAGCGGCGAAGACCCATTAGAACCCAGATTCTCCTCAGCACTCACAGGACTTTCAGAGGGTTTCCCATCCTCCACTGTAACTGCAGCAGCTACACCAGACCCCTCATCTGCACTGGCAAAAATGGGTACCAAATACTGAAGTTTTTTGGAGGGTTTCAGAGAAAAATAGGCTTGTAGAATAACTGGGTCTTCGGAGGAGAGAGAGTTGGGAGGTAAGTAGGAGGACTCAATGAAAACATGGCTATTGATATTTATGGAATTGCTCTGTGGTGAAAAGGAAAGGGAAAGCGCGAAGAGCTTAGTTCAGAGCATGGTGATCTTTCGGGCTATCCTCAACTGCACAATTGGAAGGGGTAGGAACTTCTTCTTTTGTAATTAACGGTGTACCCCTCATGTTTATGCAAACTTATGTTTGGACCTCTTGGTGTTTGAGAATATATAGAAATACCCATTTGTCCAAACTTTTTATACAATATATCCTAAAATAAGACTGAACTAAAGGGTGAAAATTTCGAGGTTCTTCGTGCAAATTATGTTAACTACATAAGCACGTTTACATAGGATAACTTCAACATAGGACTAGATTAGCTTGTACGATTCAATTCTAAAGAGAAGATTGACCACGTTAATTGAGTTTTATTAACAAAACTTTAGAAGTGTAACGTGAAATAGATCTTGACCTATGCACAAAAACGCAAGCCACCAAAACATGGGTTGAGCTTGGCCAACACGAGGGTATGTTGACCATATTTTGTCAATGAGGGGATAATTGCCCATGTTTGAGTCCCATCTTTGGGAAAAATGAATTTTAAAATAGTAATTTTTTTTAAAAATGTATGATTAGAAAATATGAAAAAAAAATTTGAGTGTACTTGTAAAATTATTTTATGAAATAATATATGATTGAAAACGAATTTTTGAAAAATGGAGCTCAAACATGGGCAATATTTTTAAGTTTGATAGATTGTTTCATAACCTGTTCAAGATCAATTCATAATTTGAGTTCTGCTAATGTTGCATAATGCCTCAACTTCAAAAAGGTAATAATATACATTTGCATTGCATACTTGTATCTCTAAAAGTCGAAAAATCCAATGTTACAACACATTATGCGAAAGGGCAGTGTAAACAATGTCAAGGAGGGTAATGAAAGGAAAAGTTATAAACATACAAAAGCAAAAGGCAGAAACTATGCGACAAAACCTATAACTTCATATAAAAGGTAAAAGGTAAAATCTTATAATCAGTATGTAGATTACGACACGCTAGTCTTCATTATTTGAATCCTCAGGGGTACAGGGATTTCTAAAACTGACACATTAATGTTGTTCCAAACATCTGATTTTGTTGGAAGCTGAGCAATTTTTTCAGCTATCATCAAGTCTTCGGGAAGTACAGAACCAAATACGGTATACGAATTTTTCCATTCTTCGTGATTTGCCAAGCTTATGAAGAATTCAGGACCGGAGCCCACCCATGCTACCGATCCTCTTCTTATGGTTGGACAGTACTCAGACGGGATTTTATTGAATATCACTCCTTGGGCCTCAAGAGTTCCTTGAACGATAGCAAATGGAGGACCGAAAGAAGCCTGATAAGATAATAAGAGGCCATCAGTAGGAGATCTAATGCGTGTAATTTGACGAAAACGATGAAAATAAAACAGGAGGGATGAAACGAGTGAATCCGTATATACATATTAATTCCAATTACTAGTTGAAGATTTTGTGTCAAAATATAAAATCTACAGCCACATACGTATTCAGCTGACGCTCTAAAAATAAATAGAGGATTTCAACTTTATCACACATTAACAGTTACTTGTGTGGAGAACATCATTACTTTTCTATTTAGAGAGAGTTTGTGGTGTTCAGCAGCACTGTGTTCATCTAATCATCTCTATATTGATTTTCAGAAAATGGAATAATCAGAAAATTTTCCAAACAAATTAAAGCGGCGTAAAAACAACAACTTTGGTTAGTCATTAAAAGAATTTGTCCAAACTTTGAAACATAAAACAAGAACACAAACAGAAATAAAGAGATAAGAAATAAGGTAAATTCTTTAACCAAAAACATAAAAAAAGAGGATGAATAAAAAGAATAAAGTGAAAGAGAAAATAAAAAATATCTAGGTTCTTCACACGGTTTTAATTTCCTATAAAACTGGTCTAATACTATAAAATTCATGGATCCCTTTGTCTATGCAACTTATATGCATGCACATAGTGCATATGTGCTAAGCTTTAAAAAAATAGTACATATGTGCTAAGCTTTAAAAAATTATAAGCGAAATAGTTAAATTTTAAAATAAAAAAATTGATGGTCAAAGTTGAAATAGAAAAAGAACTTATTTGAAAGTAACACCTTCCTTGATATCGAAATAAGGAACTTTTTTTTACTTCAATTAAGAAAAGTAGCATATCCAAACATGTTTTAGAACTAAAAATCTACTTAAAAGTAAGTTTGATATAATTTTAAGCTTAGCCAAACTTCCTCTTCATGAATGTGTATAAAGGCACTAGACGACGCAAACAAATGAAACATAATTATCAGGCAAGTGATATAAATCAAAATGATGCCTATGAATTAACCGCATAGACTCCTAACATCCTTTTAGCAGTCAAGACTACATGTGCATATACAATGATCAAGGATGCACGAGACCAAGAAAAAATTTTAATTCTTACATCTTTAATGTGTTTTCCTTTTGTATCCCAAGATTGACCCCAGCTTTCTGCTCGATAGAAATGGCAACCTGCACAATGGCGTAACGCCAACAACTCTAGGATGTATTTAACTGAAAGTGGAGAACAATCGGGCAAAAGCTGCACAAAGATTACGCAGTTTATCAGTGAAACACATATTATATAATAAATACAGCAGCATTCCAAATACTCTGTCCAATTTCTCCCTCTACTTCAGTTTATGACATGTTTGCTAAGGTTGATTGGATTGTACTGGTTAGCATTGAGGGAAGGATAAAAATGCTAAAATCTAGTTAATTATATTATTAGTCATGTATCAAACATACTCTTGCCGTACAAAACTTCACTATTTCTTCTTCCTCTAACTTTCTAGTCTCTTCTTCTCTCACTCAACTCTTCCTTTTTCTTCGTAGGTGTTTTATTGAGAACACTTTTTGCTTTTGATGACCAATAGATATAAAGTAAAATAGATTTGTTCTCGGAACTTGAGACCCTTCCGGGAGTATTTCGCAAAAGATTTTTCATTCTTAAAGAAATTAGTTCTGGAAAGTAAATTCAGCCATTTTCTAACCAGTTGATCAAAATATATAAAATGCTTTGGATAAAATAATATGAAAATAGTTTTTATAACAGTTTCCAGTGTCTTTTTATTTGAAAGAGAATTAGAAGCATGGTTATGATGTACTTTGTTTAGTTCATCTATTCAAATATATATTTTTGGTATGTTGGACAACCGAAAATCGTCTCTGAAAATGCAACTGAAAACGTTTTTATTGATCAAGACAAATGTACCGTGTTGACATGTTTCTTGAGTCACAGTTGTCAACCTTTTTAGGCACACACCCTCAAGCTGGTTCCTTGCCTAACTCTATAATCTAATTCATTAATTATCAGTTAGTAACAAATTTATGGGATTAATTACTCCAATAGTCACTGAACTTTACCAAAAAATTCCTCGAGTAGCAGATGATTTTCGAGCCCTAACCTTGCAGAAAGAGATATATAAGGGGAGATTTCGGGTTAATTACCCCAATAGTCACTGAACTTTACCGAAAGTTTCCACCAGGTCACTGAACTTTAAAAACTACGTGGTTAGTCACTGAATTTTGAAACTACAACCCCATCCATCACTGAACTTTACTAGTCACCCCATTCATCATTGAACTTTGCAAAAAATTTCCAATCTGGGTAACTTTTTGCAAAGTTCAGTGACTCCGTAAAAATCTTTTGCAAAGTTCAGTGACTAATGGGGTGATTTTTAAGGTTCAATGATGGATGGGGTTGCAGTTTTGAAAGTTCAGTGACTAATCATGTAATTTTTAAAATTCAGTGACCTGATGGAAACTTTCGGTAAAGTTCAGTGACTACTGGGGTAATTAACCCCAACTTTATGAGTCTTTGACCACTCATTTGATGCAAATAACAGTAGAGGCCAAAAGAAAAAACCAGTTACATATAGTTTGGCAATCTCTCTATGCAGCATGCTTACATAAATGCTGTTAATTTGTCTTCACATGCAGGTGCATAATTACGCTCTTACATATAGCTACAAGACTATAAAACGTAATAGAGATTACCCTAATAATCATTTAATTTTTTATTTTATTGTTGCTCGAAATATCCCTTTGCGTAATACAAGATTATAAAGGTTATTGGAAATTGCAATGGCAGCCACTGGAAACTTTCTTTGAGGGACGTGATCCAAATGTACAAGAAACCACTCATGATTAAATCAATGATATGCATCTGGTTAGTTAACCATATATGTCTTTCTAACCATTCGACCATGAAAGTAACTTTAAGGCCTGTTCAACTAACTCGGGATAAGAATGCATACCTTGATCCAAATGTACAAGAAACCACTCATGATTAAATCAATGATATGAATCTAGTTAGGTAACCATATATGTCTTTCTAATCATTCGACCGTGAAAGTAACTTCAAGACCTGTTCAACAGACTCGGGATAAGAATGTATACCTTGATGTGAAGTGTACCGTGTTCTGTCTCTAATCCAATAATACCCTGAAACAAGACAAGAGAAAATGAAAAGTTAATTCATGAAGAAAATTTACATAATCCACAAGAGGCCAGCATCACAAAAGACTAAACTTTTGGTGGTTTATTAGGAAAATATCAAAAGCGGAAGAGCGCAAGGAGAGGAGGAGAGAATGTAACAATTAAAAGAAAGCAGCAACTATTAACATAGAGACAGATATAAGCATAGTCTAAAACCAAATGCTATGCCATGCCATGCCGAAGTTCTTCCCTGTATAAGTAAAAGTGATACAAATAATTAATGGTTGCATCATAGAAAATAGTAAGAAAAATAATCACGAAAATTCAATGTTATATACCTCTCCTCTTCCAAAGACAAGACCAGAAGTCCACACGACTTTGTCTCCTACTTCCTGCTTTTCAGGGGCCAGTAAATCCTTCTGTTTTTTCAACCAACACTGAAACAACAAAAAATAAACAAAATTAATTCTGTTAATCACAGAGTTAATGACAGTGATAATTAAGGATTCGATTAGCAAAATCATATTGATTGGGAGAAGATCTATGTCTACAACTACATTAATTCTTCTACTATGCCTTGTTGTACAAACATACATGCACTAATCCACAAACATGTAAAAATTCTCATATTTCCTTGCTATGAGTTTGTTATTGGTCAAAAAAATGTATTATTAGCGCAGAGGTTTGAGCTCAATATATAGTGCACTTTAATCTTAACTACATAACATTTCAGTTGGCTAATCAATCTTGCAGGGAAGGTCACGAAATTTCTACTAAACCAGCTTCTTGATTGTTCAAGTCATAGAGAACTTGAATCTACTTCACGAGAGCAAGTCGTCAATGTCTACCGCTAACTGTCTATGTGTTTTGTTCTCAACATAATTACATTTTTTCATATAAGTGTAATTTCTCCAACACTATATTATGCATCTAATTTTTTTCCCAATTCTACAACCAGCACGAACATTTAAAGAATATAAAGCATTTGATACATTATCATCTACCAATCAAGTACATAACAGATTATGGACAGAAATTAAACCAAAAAAGAAGAAGAAGAAGAAGAAGAAGAAGAAATTTCAACCAACCTCGCCGAATTTGTTTCCACATGCCTGCTTATTCCCACAAAAAACCCAGGTATCACAAAGACAAGGCCCTTCATTTCCAGTACACATGGCTTTACAAGCTTTACAACATTCACCAGACGAATTGAATTTGAAATCCGTGCCCCATTTCACAGCAGCCCCCCAAAGCTCCAAATTCGCAATCCCTTTACAACACAACCCACCAGTAGCGCCACCACTCTCTACGCCTTTAACCCACTTCTCACCATTTGCATAGGACTCGGCCAGTGCTAATGATTCAACATCCGAATCATTTCCTGGTGCTGATGGCTTTAAAACTGATGACACGAACAGGTAGACCATAGAACAAGAGACTAAACCGATCAAAAGCAGGATCAGGGATGCCCAACGAGTCGGCTCAGAGTCATTCGGTTTCCGACCCATTGATTATTTTTGAGATTTCTGAAGATTGAAGAGAAATCCTCAGAATTTAGAAATTAATTTCAATGATCCTGTGAATATTTTATCTGGCCGCTTGAAGTATCGTTGACCTGAGAAATTGAGGTGGCTGAATTCGGAAATTGAGTTTTTCTTTTTTTAATTATTATTACTATTTTTTTTTTTTTTAAGGGAAATTTGGCCAAATAGCCTGGCCACCCCATGATATTGGACAAATAGCCTTGGACCCATATTAAAAGGCCAAAAAAAAAATCAAAATAATTTAATTGGTAAAATAACAAAATTGCCCTTCAATTTTTAACTCCAAAATCTCTCAATTTCACCTCATTTCTCTTGTTACTTCCCCTCCTTCAACAATGTAAAACCCCTTTTCGCCATTAGAAAAAATCCTCTTCTTCTCCATTTGAAATTAACGTCGTCGTCTTCTTCTTCTCATCTACATCTCATCAACTTCACTACAATACCCACTAAAATCGACTACAAATTTGCGAAAAAATACAAAAATTCCTCTCAATACTACTACGACGGTGGAAGTGACTGCACTAGGAGTAAGTTTTCCACCTTAGTTTTGCTGGTTAGGCTTCTTAGTTTCTCCGTAAATTCTGTCGATCTCGGTGTCCCATTATACGGAGGGAGGGAGGGAGGGTGAAAACATTTTGCTTATACAGTAAAATCCCTGTTGTGGTAGAATTGTCGAATCCGGCCCCAAATGCTGGTGAATATGATCTAGCTGCCATGTGGTAGAGATTTAGAATATTGATTTGCTTTAAGTAAAACATCCATAGGTTGCCCTGGAGTGATCGTAATATAATCTGTTTCAAATGGTTTTGTATAGAATCCATCTGTTCGTACTAATGTGAGTTTGTGTTTTGCAATGGAATTGAGTATCCTAAGTAAGACATCCATAGATTGTACTAGAGTGATTTTTTATTGAGTCGAAGAAATTCTTGTTACTTTTCTTTGATTTCACGTCACCACGGTGTTTTTTGGGTCAGGCTGACGTATTAATTAATGTCATTTGCCCACTAATAATGTAATAATTTTATCTCAAGTGATGTCCAATATTAATCTACATCTCAACATTAAATGAATCATAATGTATATGTAATTTAATTGATTCCTAACTCAATTATTTACATTTTTTGTTACAGGAAAAAATGGATGCTTAAAACATAGTAAACGTGAAGATAAGTTTACATCAAGACTTATTCACACACTCCTGCTTTGGACAGTTATTGAGCTTTAGGGATATAAAGCTCACGTCACAATTGGTCTACCAGTTAATTCTGAGGTCAATAAGTACCTCAAAAGAAAATGACGTATGGATTAAAATCGAAGATAAGCTTGCAAGATTTGGATTGCAAGAGTTTACATTGGTGATTGGGTTTAAAAGTGGGAGATATGGAGGACGAGGATCCGACTCTAGGGTATAATTGTAGACCGGTTAAGTAACGTTTCAAGGTAGCAACGGCAGAACAAAGAGACGCTTATTGTTAGATATTTTCAAACGTTGCAAGCATAAGAGCGATAAATATAAGTTGGGTCTGCTCGTTATATTGGTCTATGTAATTTTGGCTATAGAAGAGAACATGTTTATTATTTAACAACTACTCATGGGGGGAAAGTCATATGAGTACACTACTAATGTCTTCAAGCGTAATTTGGGAAATAATTGCACGGCACTTTGATCCGTAGATTTAGTAAAAAATTTTGAAGTAGTTATTTGTATTAATATCCTGGAAAATGATTTTGCAATTGTACAGTTTTGATGCCCTTAATGCAAATGTCGTAATGCATTTCTTTTCAATGATGTAATTTTTATCCATATATTTTGTTAAATGTTGTTATAGTTAAAGTATTAATGCCCTTAATTTAGAGATGTAAGAGAACGACACATGTGACATTATAAACGAGGTAATATGTTGATGATAACGGCACAAGTGCCGTTACTATGAAAAAACGACACTTGTGCCGACAATGGGATGAGAACAGGCACCAGAACGACAACTGTGCAGAAAACGACACGTATAGTTACACCAAACTCTTGTCATGGTCTTGCTTAGAACTGTCGTTGTGTTTGCAAAGAAAAATTAGACTAGCACGACACTTCCGCCGTTACTGAAGAGTCAGAAAGACACGTGTCGTTCTGCCTGTATACGTTTCATCTGTTGTTCCTTAGGTTGGGGGTCCAATCCTTGAGGTCGTTCTGAACTCAATTAAGTTGCAGGATGGAAGCGACGCTTACAAAGTTCGGGAGATGTGCTCAATGCTTGTATTTCGAATCGAATTTCGACCAAACATGTTGATGATAATGGCACAAGTGCTGTTACTATGAAAAAAAAACGACACTTGTGCCGACAATGGGATGAGAACCTTTATTAGATGACGGTTATATTACGTGTAAATAAAATTCAATGATAAAGACACTCGTGTCGTTTGTGATTAGGAAAAGATTACAAATGGACACAAAGTGCAGAAAACGACACTTTAGCCATTACTGGTTTGAGAACGGGCAAAAGAACGACAGAACGTCGTTATGTTTGCAAAACGAAATTAGACGAGCACGACACTTCTGCCGTTACTGGACCATCGGAACGACACATGTGTCATTCTGCCACTATAATCGTTTTTAAAGAGTCGCGACCCATCTGAACCACGATAATCGATAAACGGAACCTATTTCAGTTGCAGATTGAACGCGTCGCTTACAAAATTCTTGAGATAATGGTTTGAGAACAGTACCAGAACGACAGAACTGTCGTTGTGTTTGCAAAGAAAAATTAGACTAGCACGACACTTCTGCCGTTACTGAAGAGTCAGAAAGACACGTGTCGTTCTGCCTGTATACGTTTCATGTGTTGTTCCTTAGGTTGGGGGTCCAATCCTTGAGGTCGTTCTGAACTCAATTAAGTTGCAGGATGGAAGCGACGCTTGAGATGTGCTCAATGCTTGTATTTCGAATCGAATTTCGACCAAACATGTTGATGATAATGGCACAAGTGCTGTTACTATGAAAAAAAAACGATACTTGTGCCGACAATGGGATGAGAACCTTTATTAGATGACGGTTATATTACGTGTAAATAAAATTCAATGATAAAGACACTTGTGTCGTTTGTGATTAGGAAAAGATTACAAATGGACACAAAGTGCAGAAAACGACACTTTAGCCATTACTAGTTTGAGAACGGGCAAAAGAACGACAGAACGTCGTTATGTTTGCAAAACGAAATTAGACGAGCACGACACTTCTGCCGTTACTGGACCATCGGAACGACACATGTGTCATTCTGCCACTATAATCAATTTTAAAGAGTCACGACCCATCTGAACCACGATAATCGATAAACGGAACCTATTTCAGTTGCAGATTGAACGCGCCGCTTACAAAATTCTTACATTTAAGTAGTAGGCTGGAGACGTTATTTACAAAAGTCTTGATATACACTCATTACTTTTACCTTGAAACGAATCTAGACTAAAACTTGTGTTTTCACCGTTTCAGACCATACATTCTATATCAATTCCACCGTTAGTTGTTACATAATCAACATTTTCGTCCTTTTTAAGTTGGGGTGTCCAATCCTTGCCTTAAAAAGTTGTAAAATATTGGAAAAAAATATAAAGAACGATACAAGTGTCGTTTAACGGTACAAGTGTCGTTTTGCCACTAAAATCGATTTTGAAGAGTCGCGACCCGTCCGAACCACGATAATCGATAAGTTGAACCCATTTAAGTTGCTGATTCAACACGTCGCTAACAAAATTCTTGAGATATACCCACTACTTGTACTTTCAAACGAATCTAGAGTAAGACTTGTATTTTCACAAGTCTTAGGTTGGGGGGTCGAATCCTTGATGTCCTTATTTTGAAAAGTAGCCAAGTATTGGAAAAATCAACAGAACGACACAAATGTCGTTAAACGACATATGTGTCGTTCTGCCACTA